AAAAGATCTGAACTTTTTTCAAAGGTGCAAACTTTGGAGTTTGAGCTTCAAACCAGAACGGGAAAATGGAAAAGTGGGCAGAGACAAAAAGGTATCTGCTTTGGAACTAGCAGTGGAAGTTGACACACCCCTGTTCCAAGTGCTACATGACAGATCATCATGGACTGTTGAAAGCAAAAAGAGCGGAGGTCCACAACTATAGAAAGTTTCAGAGAAAAATAGAATTATCTGTTCTACCCTTCTGTCCTTCGACTTATTCCATATCAGTATTATCAAATGTTGTCTAACCAGCCCTTAAGAGACCTTTTCAGATATTCTACTCCAAGACTTTCTTGTTCTGAATTAGCAGGTTGCTTTTCACATTTATCCTGAGTCCTTCAAACTTTAAGATTATCCATCATGAGCACAGACACTTTTATCTTCTGAAGGTTTCTATGAAGCCTACCAAAGAATTGCAAATTTTCCCTTGACTACAAAAAAATCTACCTTTCAGCTTGCCTCACAGAAAGTATTTCAAGGTCTTTGAGCATTCTTGATACCCTCTTTCAAACTGGAAGTTCTATGCCAAAACTGTACAGTTTTGATCCCAAGCAGGACCATGAACACTGAGTATTGATAAGTCTTGTTGGTAAAGAAATGGGACCTCTGAAGTCAAATGCCAGTACCACTGTATATTTTTCAGTGTCTTCACTTCTTCCTTCTTGAAAATGGCAGCATGCAAAGTATTGTCTAGCCTAAGGACAACTGGACTGCTTTTTCTCTCTCTGCTCAGGATGTTTTTCCCCCATCTGTGATGGCTATAACCATTTATGCCTTTCAGCTGTCAGCTACCTCCCTAGACTACAGCTTTTCTTTTTTTGGTCTGTGGAGCTAAGTACTTCCACAGCAGAAATTCTGGTTTTCTTCTACTGCCGGGACTCCAGGCAGAGTCTGCCCTTAAGGAGACTGTGTAGCTATAGGCTTTGCCAGGTGCTTTCAAATAGTTTTCATGGCAAACAAACTGCTGTAAGGAGATCTTTGACTAGAAGCAATTCACTCTAAATCCTATGAGATTTCACAGTTTTGCTAATGACAGTTCATCCACTCCTTCCCCATCTACGTCACTTCTCACTTTCATGGGTTTTCCAGAGCTGCAAGGGTTAAGAACAGCCTTCCTGGTGGAATAGTGCATAGGAGATAAGCTTTCAACATACACAATTTTACACTGGACTTTGATAATTTTGCACATGTGATAGCAAGGTACAATTCTCCAATTACAGGGAAGTAGACTGAAGGTCCTTTTCAGACCTCCATTCCTTGTATTCTTTGTAACTCTTCCGTAACACAGACAGTGGGGGCTGAACATGCAGAATCTGAGATTCTACCTAGAGACATCACCCTTACTTTCCAACAATGTTATCTACATCTTCAATTAGATACAACAAAGCATAAAAATTTCAGAGTAACAGCATATTAAGTAAGATGAGAGTGCCTTTACTTTTCCCATTAGTCGATACAAACATGTAAATATTATTCTGTAAGTTCTTGGTTCCAAGGTAATGTCTGGAAATTAAAAAAATATATAGATTGAAACTAAGAAAATGATTAACTTCATTTATCACATTTATTTGTAGATGCGTAATTCCAGTGGAAATCAGTAAAGTACTGTGCTCTGACACAAAAGCTTTCAGCCTCAGCCAGCTGCGCCAAAATGAAAATTAGCAGAGTTTTTTCTCTTGCATGTCTATGCTCTGGTAAAATTTTTATGAGTTACATTCAAATTAGCAAAATCAGGTCATGATTTTCAGATTTGCTGATCTGCTGCAATAGGTGCTGTAGGAACATCAGACCCATGATAGCTCAGGATTGCCAGAAGTGAAGGATGTTCATTAAGGTGCCTGACTGGCACTGGCAACACGTATATTTAAATCACAACTATTAGTAAATTTGTTCCACATTAAAGATCTTTAGCAAATTAAGAGAATCTGTAGCTCTCATCTCATATTTGAGGAAAAATCTTTTGTAGGGACTGGTACAAGTGTGCCAACAAGTGAATGCCCTGTAATCCAGGGTAACTTTGTAGTTACTATCTTATCGCCTACAAGAAGTAGGAGCAAATTAGATGTCACAGATTAAAATGTTGTTTTCAATTGCCTAGGTGCTAGAGGATTTGCTTTGCAAAGGAACATATGTGGATTTATAAAATTCTAAGCAATATGGAAATACCTCTTTTTAAATGTATGCTACTTTTTTAGGGCCTCTCTAAAAGTTTTGGGTAGTTAAACTACACATTTCAGTGAACACAATGCATGATCAGATCTCATGTAACACCAAATGGTCATGTGGTCATGTCTTTTAAATCTGCAGTTGCGTTTTTAAGGTACGTTAACAAGCACATCAGTATATTTTGTACAGTTTTGTAATGTATCTCTAAGACAGGCTGGTTTATTTTTCCTGCACCATTCCTCTTCTTATAAAGGAATGGTCTTCAAACCAGGATGATGCACATCAATTATGTCTTAAAAATCAGTATTTTTGTTTGTTTGTTTTGAAGTCCTTGTCAGACAGTTAAGCCACATTTCCTTTTCTTGCTGCTGCTTAGAGATTCAACCTGTCTCTCTCTCCCACCTGAGTATGTATGCCACTGAAACTCTCTTCCATTCAGCTTAAACAAGTTAGAATGCACGTCTTTATGAGCAAAAATGTATGAGCAGCTGAATTGAGATTGTTTTGAAAATCATAAGGAATTTGGATGAGAATTGAGAGAATTACAGGTGGCTCTAATTCATCGCTTTACACGTAGATCGCTCTGAAAATAATGCTTCCTAGTTATTTTTGTAGAAAATACAACAGATAAGACGAGCACAATAACAGCATTTGGTACAGCAAATTCTCAGCTACAAAACACTATTTTTCAGCATAGTCAACACCATCAGCTATGCATTTTCACCAGCCATGAAACACGAGCCTGTGTGCTGCTCTCTTAAAAATCTGCACCAGTGGAGGACCCGCTGTCACTGTCACCACTGCTGAAAGACACCACCCACTCCTCACTGAGCATTAATCTCTCAAATCAAACTCATGGAAAAAAATACAGTTTATGAGTTTTTAGATCTGCATGTGAAACTTTCCCTTCCCTAATGAAAAACAGATTTGGTGTGCAAAAGTGAAGCTTAAATGCAAATGTTCCTGCCAGATGCCATCTGGTACATGAAGTCTTTCCAAATACCCTTGCAAACGCCTTCTGATCTTTATTCTCAAGTATTCCTGCAACTGCTTACTAATCTGTCTGAATTTTGTAACTTTTACCTATTTCCAGAAGGTATTACTTGTTTATTTGTTTGTTTCAATTTATAAAGTTAGATACACTAAAATTAAGTAACTCACTTCAGTTGCCCATTACAGATGCAGATATGCCAATGCAGTCTCCCAGTGCTATTGAGAGAGATACCACAATGGGATACCTCCTTTAATTACCATTGAAAAAACAAGCCAAACCTGGAGCTTACTGATGATGTATCATCAGTGTAGAACAGCAAGGAATTCCCCAAAGGGATATGAGGTGGTTTTTTTGTTGTTTTTGTTTTTGTTTGCATTTATATGTTGTGTTAGCCTGTTGTTCTACCCTTTCCCCATAGCTGCCTTCCAATACTTGAAAGTAGAAGAGGATGCATGTCTTAGTTTCAGCTGGGATGGAATTCTTTTCTTCAGTGTCTGGTATGATGCTATGTTTTTGGTTCTAGGAGAAAAACAATGTTGATAGCACACCAATGTTTATCATTTCTGCTAAGCAGTGTTACACAGGGACAAGGACATTCTCAGCAAAGGGTCCAAGGAGCTGGGAGAGAACAAAATTAGGATAGCTGACTTACACTGTCCAAATGTATATTCCATACCATATGACATTACGTGGAAGGAGTTTTGAAGGGGGTGGGTGTTCACCTTGCTCTCTTCCACTGCTCAGGAGCTAGCTGGGAATTGTTTGGGGGATGGTGAGCAAATGCTGGAGCATCACTTGTTATATACATTCATATAAATATAAATATAAGTAGCTACAACTATTTTACTTTCCCTTTTCTCTATCACAGTAAATAGTTTTATTTTATTTCAACCCAAGAATTCTACTTTGTTTTATTTTCCTGATTCTCTCCTCTATCCCACTGGGAAGAATGAACAACTGAGTGGTGCTGAGCCACCTGCTGGGTTCAGCCACAGCAATGTGTTTGATTTAAAAAAAAAAAAAAAAAAAAAACTTTTAAAACGTTCCCCCCCCCCCCCCTCCCCCAAAACTCAAATTGCAGATTAAGTATAAATGAAGAAGGTCCCTTTAAATCACCCTTGAAAATTTAAAAGTTGTCATTATTCTTTGAGAACATTCTCAAGAAGAGTCATTCATGAATATGGTAAAATAGCTTTCTGCTGTCCAAAAGTATCTCTTTGTAAACATCAGATAGCTGTAATAGTCATTAAAGTGCTTCAAAGAGTAATAGATGGAAGAATTAAGCAGCTTAAATATTTACCAGTGGTCAAGAAGGTGCTTTACACAACAAAGAATTCACAATGGCTATCAGGTCTACCCTTAGTTGTAAACTGCAATGGAAATGATGAAACCAATACAACTAAAGTGAGTTCTGCCTTCTACAATTCCCTCATCTCTCATTTTTTCTTCAAATCCATTACTGCTTCCCACATTAATCCTTGTTCAATCCTAGTAGGAGCTCATCTCCTATTTTCTCTTCTATCCCAAATTACACATTTTTGATCAACAGATTTAGTTTTCTTTTTTATCGTGAAAGCTTTCTAGCTATGAAGATGATGTACATTTCATCACTGTTCTGAACTAAGGTGGAGAAAATAACTGAGTCTGGTCTCATTCTTTTCATTTGGTAAAGATCTATGTTCCGTGATACCTAGTAAAGAAACAAATTCGTACTATTTATGTGCTTTACACATCATCTGTTCTGTGAAATGTTCCCACACGTGTTTGCAGGGCTCCATGAGCCAAGGTACATCATACTTACTTTTCTGGGGTTTTGAGAAAGAATTATTGCTGAGATCCAGGTAGTGATATAGTCCGATGTTGATACATATGGTAAAGTGTTGCAATGGCCAGTCATGTTCTGAAAATAAAAAGGTAAAACAAGATTAAATCATAGTGCTGCAAGATACCAAGTACCCTTTGCAAAGCTTTGCAGGAGCCATTTTTGAGCTTATAATACATCTACAAATGTGCACACACCCAGATCCCTGCCTCTTATAATATTGAGAGCCATCTGAATCTAAACTTCGGTTTGAAAAATTGTGTGATTCTCCTTGATGGCATAAACTTGAAAATGAAAAACTTAAAATGAAGAGATTATAAACAATATCTTTTTGATCTGTTGGATGGCAAAGAATATGAAATATCTGTGGAGAACAGGAACTTAGTACATTTTTACTATGGAACGGGTCACGAACTTTAACTTCATCCTCAACAGCACAATGGAGCCTTCTAAATATTCTTGTAGTATATGTGATGATTGATAGCAGCACCTACAAATCAACACAGTCTTTGAACTGGTATTTTTAACAAAGAAATATTTTCTCAGAATATCATCAGAGCAATTTTTTCTCAGAATATCATCAAAAAAACTTCATATAAGCAGGAGAAAATAAAATACTTCCATCTGCTTAATTCCATCTATCTTGGAATTTAGCCCAGAAAGTTCCTCAGCAATTCTGTTTCTTCTTCTAGCACACTTGAACATGCCTTATTCCAAGCAGAGTCTGCAATTGATCTGTTGTTTTATTTTCAATCTTCTGCTTGATTTGTGCTGTTGTGTCATTAATTTCCCCTATGATCACACAGTTTTGGACTGTCTCAAATTCTAAAGGAACTGGTAGAATGTGGATTTGACTGGAATACGGGTAAATAGAAAGACAATGCACTAACATCAATCTAGGAAAGATATCTTGATTCAATTTACAACAGATACAGTGAACTGTACTCCAGAATTTTGCAAATATTTCTAACCTATTAATGTTAATATTAATATTTTACATATTAGGATACAATATTAGCCTGATATTTCTAGCCTTCCAAACGTAAACATTCTCTCAATTACATTTCTCTCTCAATGAAACTGTTTTTTGCTCTGTAGTTTGAACCTGTTCATCCCAACACGCTACGTTTATCCACAAAACCTACAAAATAGTTTTAAAAAATCCACAATAACTAGAAATCTTCTCACTCCCTTCAGATCTAGTAGAGGAGACAAGCAGAAGACCTAGAGGACTTTGCACTTTACCTGGACACTACTATTTAAAGCACTGATGAGATATGAAGTGGGTGTGCCATCTACGCAAATGAAAACTTAATGGTCCTCAGCCTTTCAAAATATGAGTTACATTGCGTATATCAGATCCATAACTTTTTCAGCTTTTCTAGTACTACAAAAACTGGACTAAGTGTTCTTAGATCTAGTCTAAGGAATTCTCAGCATTGACCTAGTTGAATTCCATTGAATTGACAGGCATCAAGACAGGGCCAACAATAAGGAAAATCCCAATCTTGTTCTCTTAGGAACACTTACAATCCTGCATCTTCTGCCTCTTCTCCTATGTTTATTAAGTTTTCTTACAAATTAATGGTTTGGAGATAAATAGAGCACATAATAAATAAAGTTCAGAAGATGAATTGGTCACAAAAGAGAATGTAAAAAAAAACCTGTGCAAAAGTTAGATTTTATATTAGTGGTAGAAATTAGGAAACCATGAAGCTGAGGTTTTGTGTTTTTCATTCACTAATTTTAAGAGTACTGTAGAAATCCTGATGAAGATGTTAATGGCCCTTGGTGTTGCCTAACAGACTTTCAGAAAACTTGGGAATACAATGAAATCTTCAAGTGTGGTAGTTATGTCAGTACCATAGATTATATATAACTCCTTGTAGCTGGACCACTAAAACCAGGTCCGATCAGGAGCGACCTTGCTTCACCAAGGCCCAAAAAACAAAAAGTATGGGTAATCCACAGTTTCCAAGGGACTTCACTTCCATGCCACAGCACCCTTCTCATTAACTTTTTTCCTCATCTGCAAATCAAACTATCAAAGCAAACGTGTGACCATTTCAACTTGTTATCTCGTTAGGTACTACCAAGAAGAGTTTGTCCTAGTTATCTTTGCTGCTCTCCTTCAAGTAGTTGTAGGCCATTACAGAATCTTCTATTACTCTCCCGTATGGAAGGATGAGCAAGCCCAACTCTCTCAATCTCTCCTCTAAGGCCACATACTATGTGCCCTAACCCTATTGGTTGACTCATCTGGATTCTCCTCACATTCTCAGACTCCTTCCTGAATTGATGACTCACAGTCAGACACAGGATTTCAGATACAGCACCATCAGCTCTGGATAGAAAGGGACAAAACCTCCCTTGTTCTGCTTCTTAATTCTTTTTAAGGCACTGCAATATGCAATGTGCCCTATTCCTACAGAGAGTACGCTATTGTCTCATATTCATCCCATATTCTCCGCAACTCACATGCTCTTTTTGTGACATCCTCCTCAACAAGCTTCCCAGCACAAAGGCTTCTTGTATCTCGGTGCAGATATGGGATCAGCACTCCCCTACTTCAGTGTCATCCTCAAATTTGATGATAGAGTCGGTTACATCATTTGTTTCATTAGTGAAGATAGTGACCATATAAATAATAATTTTGACCCTTGGGGACCTCAGATTATTGTGGCCAAGGTAGATACCAAGTCAGTAATGATTTTGAGCCACACAGTCCTCCCAGCAAGTCACAGAACGGCCAGGGTTGGAAGGGACATCAAAGATCATGAATGTCCAACCCCCCTGCCACATGCAGGGCCACCAACCTCCCCATTTAATACTAGACCAGGCTGCCCAGGCCCCCATTCAATCTGCCCTTGAATACTTCCAGGGACGGGGCATCCACAGCCTCTCTGTGTGTGAGCAGAGAGACAGCCACTGTGACAGCCACTACTCTCTCTGTAAAGAATTTCCCCCTGACATCCAACCTAAATCTTCCCTCCCCCAACTTAAAACCATTTCCCCTTTTTGTGCAGTTATCAAACCTTTCAAAGAGTTGATTCCCCTCTGTTTGTAGGCTCCCTTTAGGTATTGAAAGGTTGGAATGAGGTAACCCTGCAGCCTTCTTTTCTCCAGGCTGAGATTTTGCAGTTGTGCAGTAGCTTCATTTTCAAATAAAAGCACAAAAGACAGGGAGCTTCAGGCATAAGTAAAAACATGATGTGCACAGTTGTGTGCTATCTCATTGTGTGCCATTGTGTCTGACAGTACACCATTTCCCAAATTCCTTACCTCTTTTGCTCACAGTTTGGCTACAAATTGGAAACACTACCCTCTTCTAAGTGGCTATTTACAGCATTCACCAAAAGAGAAGAAATAGGTATTAAGTCAAATTTGCTCTTGCAAGGTTGTGTGATATTTTAGTGAAGATTCTGCCCCATTAGCAAAAAAAAAACATTGAGAATTAAAGCCCCATCTACAAACAGTTAGCATTTAGCAAAAAGCTCAGTTCAATATCCAAATTTTCTAGCTGGAAACTCACTGTACAAAGAATTGAATAGAAATTCAAAATCAGAACCATTCTTTCCTCAGTCTTTGATCCAGATTTCACACTGAGCCCACATAAGACGTTTCTCCAGGATGAGAATTTGTCTTATTTTTTGTAGTGATATGGAGTGATATTTCTCTAAGCTTGCAACAACCACTCTAGCAACCAGAAGACCACTGTGAAGGTATCACTACTTTCCTTCTGATTTGGGTAGATTTTCCCAAGCTTAAGTTTAATAACTTAAGCTTTGAAAATACATGTTAATTTCCTTCACCATGCCACTTCCAAATAAAATGTTTTCTGATATCCTTTACTAAATTATTTACAAAGATGCCATCTCAAAGCCTGTGAAGATGCCTATTAGGGCACAAAGTGCAAACAGGTCTCACTGATTCAAATAAAGAAGGGGAGCTAAAGTTAGAGAACAAGAGCTCCTCTCAGCACAGAACTTTCGATAATCCCCTGTTTTGTATATTAAGGTGTGGGCTTTCGGGAGTTGGTTGTTTGTGGAGTTTTTGTTTAATTGTTTATTTAAGATGATACAGGTGCAGATTGACAGATTGCAGATGTCCTAAAACAGACATAATCACAGTCACCATAATTGAAAATAAGATATGCAGTAGCTCTGAATTATTGGATGAAGATATTAGAAACTTTAATTTCTGTGCTGGGACCATTAATTGTTACATAGATACCTGTCAGGTAAGAAAAGCTTGGGATCATGTAATCAATCATTTTCTATTCTTATGCAAGCCTACCAAAGGTAGATTGCTCTTAGAAATTTACTTTCCTTGTTCTTTGGTCCTCTCAGTATATTCACTGCTTCAAAGAACTTTGCTTGGAGAATAGCAAGAAGGCAACAAAGTTGCTGCATATCCTATTGTGACATTTGTTTTGCTACTAACCCATTAAGAAGACGTGCATAGAAAAGGATTTGTCCAAAAACTAATTAGCCACCAATCCTCAAAAGTAACCCAGAGATACGATGAGAATTCAGCAGCATCAGCAACCCTTGTCCCTCATGTTATACACCAGTAAGTCTGAGCAGGATGCTTGGATGGGTAGGTCTTGGTACTTGTATGCATGCGGCCATAAAACTGAGTAAATATCTATGACAAAATAAGTGGGAACGAGTAAAATCAACACCTTTAGACTTTTTTTTTTTTTTTTTTTAAATATCACCTTCTCCATGCTGAGTTTTTCTTTCCCCCCCACACCGATTCCTTCTGTGTAGATTACAATGCAGAACAGCATACTGTGAATAGGCCAATTTAAGTACCTGAATAGCTGCTATTGAACAGCGCACTGATGCTGCTACACCACGTAGGATCCACTGATCCACCACTGGATAGGATCCAGTCTCCCCTCTAGATTTCAATAACCCTGGAACGTATGACATGAACATAGTATCTCAGACAAGCTTAGAAGTGCCTGAGCCAGATGCTTTTAAGGAAAACTATAGCAGATGCAATTTCTTGTCAGTATGACTCCTCTGCTTCTACAGCAGAACAGAGTTCAAGGCTCTTTTGGATGAGTCACATCCATGGCAGAGACAGGTTGAGAAAGGACAGGGAGGGTTTCAAGAGAAGAAATGTAAGCGAAGTGACTCACTGCATTGTTTTTTTGCAGAAATAGCCCCTTACATCATTCCATAAAAATATGAAGCATAAATTGAAATGAATTGAAAAATGAAATAAGAGGTCAGTCTTAACTCCTTGCTGCCTCCAGAGCTCTTCATAGCATACCAATTTATATTTTCACAATAGATAGGGAGAAATCTTCCCCTGTGAAAGTTCAGGTTGTGCTGTTTACTTACACTTGTGCAGCAGTGGTGATATATTCACTTCTGTGCCCCCTTTCTGCACATTACTGATTACCAATGTGATGCCACTAACATTTACATTCTTCCTTCTTTCAGAATACGGAAGCAAACTGATGGTTTTTCTTTTCCAAGACAGACTTTTCCAATATGGAATACATCTAGGGGCCTTGGTTGTTCTCCATCTAAGATATTTTCTCTTTTTATTGGAATTCTTGGTTACACTTATTGAATTCACAACACAACGGGAGCCAGCTGGTCTTGGGAATGGACTGCCCTCTCCTGGAAAGCTATACGCATATTTGAAGCATGAGATCTTAAGTACTTTGCTGAATTTATATTCTAAAAATTAAAAAGAAGTGTAATCCACTATAAATTACTGTAAATGAATACTGAGAATTCATCAAACTGACAGCTTGCTACATCCTTTTAGTATGCTCAGTTTTTCAGTGAATCCTATAATACATGGTAAGAATCCATTCAAAACATCCTGCTCTGTGTGTAGCTGAACATCACACAAAAATAGATTTCATGGAAACCTACAGAAAGGTTACATTGTTCTAGGTCTTTTGCATTCTCAATATTTTCACTGACATCCTGCATTATCATTAACGGCTACACTTCAAGATCTGTCCCAGTGGCTGCCAGAGATCATAAAGGCACGAAGGCTAGATGCTAAATTTCTTCATAGTTGTGAAAGCCTCTTTCAGTCAGCAGGACACAGCACTGGCAGTTTACATGCTTTGGAACCTACCTGACAGCCATCACAGGGACTGCTAAGAAGGAGAATTATTGTCTTTCCCAGATGCTGTGCATATGCAAGTAAGTTTACTGCTTACTGATAATTTCAGACATGCAACAGAAGAAAATAAACAGAAGAAAACAAATCTGCGATGCATTTTAGAACAACTTACTCTTTGCCATGCTTTCTAATATTAAACTGGAAAACCATCAGATCTCTGGCTAATTTAATGTTTCATTTTGCACTTCTATATTCATTCTTCGGTAGCTCATTCTACCATGGTCATCTCACACAACATGATTTCTCCCAGTATGTGTCAAAAAAAAAAAAAAAAAAAAAAAAAAAATTAGTTCTCTGTCTGACAATATAGTGAGCTGCAATCATCAAGACAAAGACTGTCAGCCTGTCAAGAAGTGTCAATAGATCCAAAAGATTATCTGCCATTCATAGCCCAAGGAATAATTTTCACCCAGTGAGCAAATAACAATTACCTTGGACTAGACTCAAACATTCATTGCACAAGATTTTCACCACCCTGCTCTTCTCCCTGGAGAGCAGAAAGTAGACTGCAGTCTGTTTTTAAGGACTTCAGGCTATTTGAGCTGTGAATTTTGGAGCCTGTGATTTGGTCACATTAACTCTTTAAAAAAAAAAATTAAATGCTTGCTTTATGTCTTTGTAGTCAGTATAGATTTCAAAGGCCAATGCAACTTTCATCTCTTTTCTTCAGCATCTATTTTCCAAATTTCAATTAAAAAATTGCTAGCAAGGACATGCATGACAGAGCACTCTTTCATCCCTGTCCTAAAGGCACTTTGCCAGTATATTATCAGTTAAAATGTTCCTGTGTCTTTCACCCCATATCCCCAGTTACTACTTTTGCTCTCTCTGAAGATCTGAGAAAGCTTTGGAGCAAATAACCCAAGTTATTTCCCACACTGGATATTCTGTGCAAATGAAGAAGGTTAGTTGTAGATTTGCTCCCTAAAAAACTGTGTTGAAGTTACTAGATTTATTGTAATAAATCTACACATTATTCACACAGTAGAAAGAGAATAATGGCATGAGAATTATTAGTATTGAGTAAGTTTTCTTACAGAGTATAATCCTAACAATTAATATCATGCCCACTATTTTGGCAAGAGCTAAGTAGACGATATATGTCAGAGAGAACTGCACAGAGTGAACAGTTTCTTCTTCTTCTGAACAGTTTTTATCATTAAGGTGTGCACTTCTAATTGATTTTACTTTTAAATGTATATGTGAAGATAGACTTTTGCTGGTTTTTTAATTAATACCATATATATATGTGTGTGTGTGTGTGTATCAACTCATTGGAAGAATAAGAATAGTCTGACATGAATTTTACAAGTGTTTTGACTTACACTTCATGAAAACGAGACTAATGCATCTCTATTACTTTACTTACAAAGCTTTCAAACCCAATTAAGATAAACAACACTCATTCCAAATCTATTAATACATTATAAATGCAGTTGCCAATATTGCTCCCCTAAAAAACAAAAACAAAAACCAAAAAAAAACCAGCTCACTTGCATTTCATCTTAATCATTATTCACTTGTGTCTATGGTTTCATCTCTGCTGTACTTAGTAATCCTATAGATATGTCATAGTAACTGATAACGTTTTTATCTAGGTCAAATCAAATTTATTTCTGTGTTGATTCCCTCTGCCGTTTTTGCTAGAAGATTTAATTTAAATAGGAAGTATGCTACCCATGTCTAGTTACTGCATTAAACACAGTACATCTAACCAGTTAAAAGAAGTGATTCTCCGACTCTATTTAGCATTGTGATGGTCTCACCTTGAATATCATGTGCAGTTCTGGTCTCCACAATATAGGAATGATGTCAAGATCCTTGAAAGCATTCAGAGGATGCACTAAAGCTGGTAACAGGGCTAGAAAGCATACCCTGTGAGGAGAGGTGAGAACACAGAGGTCATCCAGTCTGAAGAAGAAGCTGAGAAATGACATTATTACTCTCAGCAGCTCCATGAGGAGGGGAAGCGCAGAGGGAAGTGCCAATAAGAGGCCGTGAGGGAACAAAGCTGTTCCAGAGGAGGTTCAGACTAGATGTCAGGAGGCCTTGAGGATGGTCAGACACTGGAACAGGCCTCCTAACAAGACAATTGATGCCTGACACCCAGTATTCAAGAGACATTTGGACAATACCCTCATTAGTGTGCTTTAACTTTTGGTTAGCCCTGAACTGATCAGGCAGTTGAACTAGGTAACTTTTGCAGGTCCTTTCCAACTGAACTATTCCCTCATATCCCATTCCATTCCATTAGTAACAATCAGAAGGGTCAGTGTGGAGGAAGGGCAGGAGTACAGGAGTGCAGTAGCAAAGGGACAAGTGCAAATTGAATGGTGTTACAAAGGAAAGGTGCTTACCCATCTCCAAAGATCTAGGCTCACAGTGAAAACTCCACAAGAGAGGGATCTCCAACCAAAGATTGTTCCCCAGTGGCAGTTAGCCCTTAAATGAGGTGAATTGCCTTCACCTGTGTTCACAGGGCTGACGGGGCCCATTGCCCAGGTGCTCCATCAGTGGTTCAGGCCCTGACTCAACAGTTCCCATACACCATTCCATCCTTCTCTTTATAGCAGCCATTGAACTTCACAAAGTTGTTCAAAATATTGATTTGCTTTTAAAAATAAATTTTGCAGCGTTATTCTCTGTCAGATGCTTTTTTATCAGCCCAATTGACACAGCTAGAAATCTGTTTGATTTCCTAAAAAGAGGCCTGTGGCTGGATACAGAGCTGATTACTCACTTTTACTGGGGAGAATGAAGATTTATGGGTAAGAAATGCTTTCCTCAAATAAGAAAGAATAAGATTTCCCTTAAAAGGAGGTCCTTCTTAGGACAAAAAAAAAAAAATTTCAACACAGTACCTAAGACAGACATGTACAGGGGAGACAAAGAAAATGTAAGGCTAAATAGTGCAGTCACCGTGCATGTAAGATACTGGCCAGTATGTAGCTCATTGTGACCTTACATGCAGTTTTGACATTTACGTTCAGGCCAGTAAAACTTGTACTAAGAAATGTCATAGCAGATTATTATCTCCTTAGTTAACAAAATGTCTAAGAGGAATGAGTAAGTTTGTCCCAAAGTTTCCAAGAGGCGATTGCAACAACATTCCCTGTGCCAACCCAGCTCCCAGTCCTGCACCGTGCAGGAAGGGACATGACGAATGTAAGCATGGAAAAAAATCATGGAAAAGGTCCTTATGAGTGTTATATTTGTACATTTGCAGGCATAGAGATAGCAGGCAGTCAGGTGTCCTGAATACTCAGCTTCTCCATTGAAAGAAACTGCTTTCACTGACTTTTTCTCTCCAGAAATGCCTCTAGCCTTGGATTCTTCCCTGCAATGAGTGCTAAATGCCAGCTTGGCTTGGGGAGAATAGGAAGGTGCTTAAAAAGATGTGAAGCTAAACAGACATCTTCTGCACAGAAGGTATCTATAACAAAAGAAACTGCACTGTTTGCAGAAAAGGGATTTTTAGTTATGACAAGGTGCAAGATAGGGGGAAAGCTCCTGTTGTCCCAGTCCCTTAACCTGTGGTTATCAGCATTTCAGAGGCACCACCAATCTTGCCCATCCCTGTCCACCACCAGGCCGAGTTCCCACATCAACCCAGGGTCACAAGCCCCAGTGAGGCCACAGCAGGGCCGTGCTTGAGCTACCCAAAACCCTGCCCCACTGCAGGCTTGCGGCACGGCACCGGTCTGTACCCAACCTCAGGGAGGTGCTCAGTGCCCCCAGTGCCACGCTCCTGGTGGAATGAAGGGAGAGGACAGGCTGCTCACCCTATCCCCAGTTCCTTAAGAAGCAAAATGGTTTTCTTATTGTCCTTGCCATCAGGAAAGTGTTTGCAGCTGTTTCCACAAAGCAATTCCTGTGGTGGACAATATTTTGAGTCCGGGCCACAGAATGTGCAAGAAGTGGCTGTCAGTAATAGTAGGTAAGGCAGCTCAACTCATTCCAGGCTTCTGCAACTCACTCCAAGCAGAACTGCTTCACAGCCTTCAATAATTGTTTATCTTCATTCACCCCTGTAGAACTCATGCTGCTTCCAGCCCTGCCAGAGTTTGTTTTACAGCTGGAGCTGATTAGAACTCCTCATGCAGAGTTGACTTAAGTCAGGTTTTTCTTGTAGCCAAAGATCTGGAAGGATGCACTTAGCCTAAGGCTTCCCATCTGTCTAGTGTGTTTATCACCTGAGGTGTCAGAGCAGGTGCAGATACAGCAGGTCTAGTTTTGGCTTCAGCTATATTGAAGACACTCTAAGGCAACTTACAGGAGAACAATAAACATGAACAACATGGGAAACAGAGATCTGTTCTTCCCTTTCTTGCATTGCCCACATGCATACTTTGCTCAGATAAGGAACAGCTAACTCGTACAACAGGACCAGAAATGGAGGAGTAAATTCTGGGCACAGGGGTGGCCATAAGACAGTGAACCAGCAGAGGCCTATGAGGCATAGCATAAGTAAGGTCAGCTCAGATATTTGCTCTCAAAAATCTGTTTAAGACATTACTGCTATAGACATACATGCTTTAGCAATACTGAAATGTATCATTAATTTCTTACGAATACATATGAGCCAAATGTGTTTTGCTTGAGGTATTCTGCCTGTTCAAATCTACTATTGTATCAAGTTGAATGATTCCTTTTAAAAAAAAAAGCCTGCCATCGTATTTGTTGTGCAAACAATCCATTCACACCAAGGAACTTGTAGAAACTACTAGGTTTTTAATGTCCTGAGTTATTTTTACAACTCTGCTATTTTACTTGATGATTTTTAAATTTTTCCATATACTGTAAGAGAGGAAAGGACTACAGTACAGCAAAAGCTCTAGATTAGACATCTGTAACAACCTAACTGCAAGGATAACTGTTAGCTGTTTTCCTGAGAAGGGTGTAGAAACACCAAGCTGGGAGGTCTTCAGCTAGTGACTGTTCAGCAAGAGAATCAACGTTTTCTGGCTGACTGTTAATAGGGACATAACTCTGACTATGCTCCGTTTGAATGATCTGTACTTCGAGTGGGCCATAATCACATACAAAAATGATTGAAGCTCATGCAAGCTAAAACAAGGCCATTTAGGTCTAGACAATTTTCTAAAGTGTTTTATTATCTGATAATTCATTATCTGGCTATTCCAGGTAAAGAGTTTTCAGCAGGAGCAATGCTGGGAGCCTGGGAAGGAGAGCAGAGCTGGATGAGAACCAGAGCTCCACCAGCTGCAGAGACCAGGACAACAGGCCTAAACAAGTCTGACTTGCATGTATTTCTCCTCATAGCTGGGGGGCACTCCTGCTAAAAACAATTGAAGTATCAAGGTGAGGCAACACCAGCAGTCTCGAATTGTGAAAAGCAGGGGCAAACCAAGAGCTCTCAGTACGCCCCAGGGCAGAGGGAGCTGTCAGTGGAATGAAATGATGCTTGTAGGCTCAAACTGGAAACGCTTTGAGAAAGATTTCTGTATGTTTCCAGGGCAGTTTGGAAAAGGGGAAATCTTTCTTTAAAAAGAGTTATTCTGCTCAGGAAGTCTTCCTCCGAGTAGGATTCTGTGTCTTGTTCTCTTTCCACAGGAAACCAAAATGCTGAACCAGATGAGCTGCAGCACTGCAGCCTGCCAACTGCGCACAGCACGTGGGAAAAGCGAGGGTGGTTAGCAGGGATGGTGGCAGCAAGATCTTGAATTTGTAAAGCTGGAAATTGCTGTGGAGTCCTGCAGTTACAGTTCCTCTTTTTGTGTCTACAAGTTGTGAGGAGACACTAGTGGAGGAGAGGCAGAGGGCAAGTGCAAAAGCTTTGAAGAAACGGACAGCAAAACGGGTTACCTTGTTCAACCACAGCATGCTAGGAACATTCTAATTTGGAACATCTGGTGGCTATTCATCAAACCTGTTCTTAAAACTTCCAGTCGTGGAAATCCCACAAATTCCTCAGGCACAATTCCAGTGCTTTGTTTTTTCTTCAGTGTCAAATAGATTTTTTTCTAACCACGATCTTAAAATTTATCTTGTATCTTTAAATCCATACTGACTGCCTTATCCTCCATATTTATGATGAACTGACTATCTAACATTTCTTTGTGATAACCACTATGTAACATATACATATGTTATAATAGACATATATTCATATGCCTGTATTTGAAGGTTCTTAATCTGTATTGCTTTAACATTATCTCTACACAAATCAACCCACACTTTTTTGTAATCCTTCTTTTGTTTTCTGCAGCCTACCCCACATGGCTTCCCAGCAAGTTTTATTTGATTTGCAGAGTTGTTTAACTTAGAATGAACAAGGTGTTGCTGTAACAAACAACCTGAAGTCATTTTTCAGGTGTCTGAATCAGGCCTCAAGTATCATTTATATGATCTAAATAAATACCTATCAATTTTGATCCTTATGTGACTTACAGCCTGGTAAAATGATTAGGCTTAGCACTTAGTGTTTTCTTTATGTCACAAAAAAGGGACAGTGAAGCATGCTGTCTCTGTTTTATAAAAAAGAAACTTGCTATAATGTTTTGTTCAGGAGACATCATAAATGGGGCAGATGTTAACACGTAGCTGTGTCAGAAATAGTCCTGAGCTCCAGGTGCACATGAAGCAGACCCATTTCCCCAGGCAGGGAAGTCAAGCTGCTTACCTTCTCACCTCCATTCTCACAACTACTTACAAATGCAAGCAACAGGCTGTTTAGTGTGATGCCCTACATCCACCAGTTAGCCCGGTAAGCAGAGCGTATGAATCTCTGACCATGCTACTGCCTCGTCCATGACATTTCATTTCTTCACCTCTTGCTTGCCTCCTTATGGAGTACACTCTTCAGGGCTGAGACTTTAATGTTTTGCCCCTGGTTTCAGGAGGCTCTGATGTTAATAATAGTCATCATCACAAGCATCCTCTAGGAAAAAAATAAAATAAATAGATAAATAAATAAATAAATAAATAAATAAGGAAATATCAACTAGAACAAGTAAATTATAACCTTACCAAAATTAAGGTAGCAAAACTAATAAAAATGCTTTTCACATGTACTGGAGGAGTGGAGCTAGGTCCTACTCTGAGCTTAGCATATCTAAACAGTGCACTAACAGTCTCCTTGATTAATTTTTGTGTATTGACACATTAGGGCAGAAGCAAAAAACCATTAATGAAATTCAGAGGACACTGCATTCATTCCCCTTGGAAACCAGTCTGAAACTGAGAATGTTGTGGCTAGATCCAGAAAATACAGAGTATAACACTGAAAAACAAAACAAAACAAAATTGTCCAATAAACATTAAGCTGTACTGACCACTCATTACATACTCTGCGGCTTCTTGTAGTTGAGTTCTCACTTGTTGCTCCTATCAATGTGTCTTTACCAGAAAAGAATAACTAGGGGTTAGAGAAGTACTTACAAATATTATGAAGTACTTT